ACCATGTCTTCATGCCTCTATGCAAAGACATTTGAATTCTTTCAGATAAAGTCTTTTAGTTCTTCATTAATCTCCTCTTCCAATTCTTTTCCGACCCGCAAGACCTTGGATATGTCTTGGGGGTCCACTGGGAATGTCTCCAGTTCCTCCATTGGGCTAGTTTGTGACTCCGACTCAATCACCCTGGGATCTAGCTCCTCCAAGGATATTTCGGATCTGGCCTTTGCCATGATAATGTCTCGCGTTGGAGGCTGCCCTTCTTCAGTGGCTCTAACATTCGGCATCTAGCACAATGTTAACTCGTGGCTTTGTCTTCCTAAGGGAATTAAGGTAGCATTTCCTGGATCCCATCTAATCGCCTCGGACAGTGGTAATTCATCATTCTATGGGAAATTTCATGCAGATGTGGTAGATGGNAATCGCCTCGGACAGTGGTAATTCATCATTCTATGGGAAATTTCATGCAGATGTGGTAGATGGAAGTGAATGCCCATAACTCTTTCAGGGCAGGTCTCCCAGAACTCCGTGATAAACGGATCGGCGATCAAAAACTAAAAATTCCATGAAGTGGCGAGGCCTCCATCTCCACAGCCAAAGTAATTTTACCTCTGAAAATGATGCTGTCTCCAGTGAATCTATAGAGGGGCGAGCTCATTGGTGTCAGTTTATGGTCCACTGCCATTTTGTCAAAAATTGTAATGAATAGGATGTTGACTGAACTGCCATTATCCACTAGCATACGTTTCAACCCGTTGCGGGCTACCACGGTTCTGACTACCAGAGCGTCACAGTGTGGGAAGTGTACATTTGCCGCATCTTCCGAGCTGAACGTAATAGTCTCTGCAACCTTTCCACTTTGTGATTGGCTTACTATGTAGCTAGCCATTGGTGTCGCTTCCCTGGTGTAATTTTTTTGTGCATTTTTTGATTCACCTCCTACATGGGGTCCTCCAATGATGGTGTCAATTTCACGAATGGGTTGTTGTTCATTCGAGGCAGCTGAATCTCTCCTAGGGCGTTGCCCGTTTCGGGGCCTCTCCCTATCATTGTTTGTGTCGTGATGGGGAAAGCGTCGCCTTGTTTCACCCCTTTTTGGGGAGCTGCGCCTTGGATTGTTACCTTGATAGTGGTTATCTTTGGCATTATGAGGGTTGCGTGGAGGCCTGTTCGCCTCTCTGCAGTCGCTTGTGTCATGACCATAGTAGCAATGGATGGTACGGTAGGCTCGTATCTCTTGGGACCTATCTCTAGGCCTTCCGCCTCTTTCCCTATTTCTAGAGGTTGAGGGTCGTCCAGCATTTCTAGCCGGGTTGTTTATGTTTGGCCCAACATTTTCATAAGCCAAAGTCGGTACTGCATTCAGTATGGCGGTAGCTAGGGCTTGTCTCGAACTGAGAGCCACAGTGTCCAGCCTGAGTCCATTGTTGGCTTACTATTTGAGAGGTAGGACCTCTACCTATCTGCCTCTGAGGTGGTGGGAGTCCCTAGGCAGATCTATTTCGGTGGTCAGTCATTTCTTCATTGACAATCTCAATCTTCATCATTTCCACCAGTTCTTCATACGTCAAAGGGTTCTTACTTCGAACATCCCTCCAGAACAAAGTGTTCATGTTTAGCCCTCTTTTCAGGGTTGAAAGTGCCTTTTTGTCTGTGACTTGTTCACAATAAGTTATCTCGTCAGTGAAGCAAGCAAGGTAGCTCTTTAGAGTCTCCCCTGCTGCTTGTCTCATGTCTTGCAAGAGTTGAATCGGCTCCTCTCCCTCTTTTCTCGAAAGTTACTGGTTTAAGAATGCCTTTTTCATGTCTGGACAACTTCTTATGCTAAGTGGCGCTGATCTACTGTACCACACTTCAGCAGCTCTACCGAGAGTTAGATGGAATGCCCTGCATTTCAAAGCTGGCGAGGCACCTCGGATGCTCATTTATACTTGTTGAGATGTTTCTCCGGGTCGCCCTTTCCTTCGTATTTGGGAATCTTAGGAGAGAGAAAGTTTTGGGGCATCGGGAAGGTGCGAAGTTCCCTGGAGAAGGAAAAGTTGCCATCGTCATCAGCCAGTTCATACGACGTACATGGTTCGTTAGAATCATTTCCATTGGCTACTGGGCGAGCTGGATGTTGGACAGTTTCAGCTCTGTTTCCCCAATCCACTAGGTTTCGCCTCTCTCGCCTATTTCTAGGTGGAGGGGCTTAAACCTCTTGGCTTTGTGCACGTCCCTGCTGACGAGCTATTTGGTGCGAAGGCTGGTTCCTATTTCTAGGCACCCGTCTGATCCGATCTAAAACACGGCAGACCTTTGGGGTTGTTCTTCATACTCTGGAGGGAAATCATATTCTCCTGCCGGGACGTTGTCGGCCGGAGCGACAGTATAGTTGGAAGTGTCCATTCCCACTTCTCTTTCAACAGGGACTTCTCCCCGGGGACTCAGGTGAGTTCTCCTATTAGATTCTGCCTCAGTTCGTCTATGGGTTGATTGTTGGGGATTTTGTGGAGCTTGAAAACCACCTTGATTTTGCACCTGCATGAGGATCTCCTGCATAGCCACGTTCTAGGCTGCAATGGTCCTTATGTTGGCAGCCATGTGGGCCACTTCGACAGTTAAACGCACGACAGTTCTACCGCCTCTACGATAGCGTGGTGAGGCAGTTGCTGCGTAACATTTGTTCGGATAACCTCTTCTTCAGAGACATCCCTTGCTCTCCTTACATTCGCCTTTTCATCGTTGGAACTCATGATCTGAACTGGCAAGTACAGCAAGGCTTAACGTATGGATGATCCTTTTTCAGGAACCAATCCCTTTTTCAAGGAAGACTATGAGCCAGATATTCGAACAGCTTTTTGGTGGGAAGACTTGTGGTTAAAGTAAGTTTCCCACAGACGGCGCCAATTTGTTGACCTCGAAAAATGGCTTCGACACGTGGCCAACAGAATAAGTCTTCGAGTCAGCTCTTCCCTGTACGCGTAGCACGACGTTAGTCACCCGTGGCCTTTCCCGAAGGATTGGGGAGTGGCCGCGAGCACTCCGACGATCAAGTCAGTTTATAGTTCAACCGGAAAAGGTTCGCTGACTGTAGAACATTCGTCGGGAAGTGGTTGATAAAGTGTATAGTGATAAAAGTGCCAATAATTAAGGGAGAAGATAATACTCAAGTTTGCAATGTAGTAGGAGACAATCTTGATTCGAATCCTTCTTCTGGCGCAAGTAGGGAATATTTATACTAAGGATGAGAAGAAGAACGTCGTCGGATGATAAGACACATGTTACCAGATCCTCAAGGCTCATCCCATCCTAGGTGTCAATCTGTCCCTTCATAGGTTGGCTGGCATTGAATATCTCTGACAAAGGTAGCTGAATTAACCGTTTGGATCCTGTCACACGTCCCATCAGTCAGGGCTTTGACTTTGGAAAGATCTTTATACAAGAAGTCTTTGATGGACGAGGCGAGGCAGGAAAGACATTACAGCGTTGCAGAAGCAGAGTACGAGCCTTTGCATCCACTGTGTAATTGCGGATGAGTTTAATTCATTCGCTGACGCGTGTTCAGTTCGTTCCTCACATAATTACTTCAGCATGTACAATCAACTCGTCACATGTGCAATCACCTCGATTGACGCGTGACGTGCACCTCTACTAACACGTGGTGGGTGAGGTAACGGGTGTGATACAGACCCGTAACAAGTTCCATTAGAATGTGTGTTTGAGGAAAATGTATTTTTAGAATAGTGATTTTTCTAAGAATGTGTGGCTAAAAAGAAGTAAAATTTTTGAGTTTACACGTAATATTATTTTATTAAAAAATATGTTACAAAAAAAAGAAAAAAAATGCATAAAAATTTAATTCAAAGCCATAATTACTTATTTTTCAAGGGTCTTCCGAGCAGGTTTTTAACATTCTTCAATTATGCATTCTTGGGAATGAATATGTTTCATTGTCAAGTTCACCAAGATGAATCGACCATCTTAACCAGCTAGAGTTTTAAGATAATCGATTCATCCGAAAATCCTCATTAATATAGGAAAAGATCTTAGATAGTAAGAAGATAGATTTCTTCTACCTATGGCTAAGGTTTAGCACTGATCAAGTCTTCAATGCTTATGGCTCGATTAACCCTTGTGCTAATTTAAAAATGTGCGTGCACTTAGTTGGCTTCGTAGAGATTCCATGTATTAGCTTATCTGTTTGGCACATAAGTCAAATCTAACCGCTATATATTGTGTTTCGGGATCATCTTAAAATGTCAATATTGTTTAGAGTAATAGAATTAACTCTCATATGTTATTTAGTGTATTTATATCTAATGATGTTCGATTACCATCAACTCATCCCTAAAAGATATCATACTCTCAGAACATCAATCTTAAAATTCAATAATTCAATTGAACTTTTAGATAAAAATACTGCTCATTTGAGCTTAATGACCTCTAACACTAATGGTTTATATGTTGGTTAAGCAATGTGTAATTTTATAATTGACACTTCAACCCTTTAGTTAATTCTCTTGGTTCAGATATAGCAAACAACATGATCACTATTTGCTGTGGAAATTATGGCCACAAGGTAAGGCGGGCCATTTTAGCTTTGACTAGGTTGAAAGCCCACTCCTTGATGTGGGCCTTTCAAGATCCAGGACTAAATGAGTCTCAGGCCCAATCCATTAAGACCGATTTACAAAGTATTTAAAAATGACAAATACCTGCTAGCTTAGAACGTCAAACAAAGAGAAATATGAAATAAAATCTGTCCTACGTACTAAATATGTCATAAACTACTAACATAATTTTAATTGACAATCCAACAAAATATAGCAGTTGGAAAGAGTGATAAAAGATCTGAATCTTCAGTACACAGTTTATTTATATTCTAGAAATGATCAACAATGTAAATCATCTTGCAAAGCAGTCTCTAATTCACCAAAGATAACGAGAAATATAACCAAAGGCTAAGGCAAAGTTGTACAATTTGAAAAGAGCTAATCGATCATTAAAATGCCAAAAAAGGGTCAAACTTCATCAACTTCACTTCCAGATATCTGGTCTTCATGACCCATTGAATACGCGCTTCCATCCGGTCCCAACACCTTAAACCTACTCAACGCAAGAAAATTCTTGAAACAGAATCTTTAAGATAAATCAATGCAATTTAGGATGGATCCATGAAAGGACATCAATTCAAATCCTAGATTTGCTTAAAGAGAAATCTCATCGAAGTTCATTATGAATCTTTAGGTACTTATTATGAGATTTATGGACACCAAGGGAAAAAAGCTAAAAGTTTTATTCATTGTAGTGTCTAGTACTGCGTATCAAATATGCCTTAATTTTATACCTCTCGAGGATAAATCTTCCTTCCTTGTACTTTTGGCTTTTCTCATGAGCAATGTCCTGTCAATAAATAGTATATGAGCTATGAGAACGCAACATAACAAGAATAAGAAACAAAGTATAAGCCTTCAAGTTTTCAAACAAGATCTCACGTATCTCCATCCCACAAGTGAGCCGCACCGCACACAGAACGTGTCAACAACAGTGTGCACTCCAGTCATCATCATCCTCTCTTCTTTCTCCCCAGTAGTCACATTCACACTGTTATCGCAGAGCAAGATATTAGGCACACTGTCAACAAGGAAATAATACCACAACACTTGTAATTACAAGTGAATGCCAAGAGGAATTGAAACAGAGCTGTCATAATAAAGCAGGTTTAGTGTAGCATAAAAATAAGTAAAAGTTCATTGTAAGTAGTTTTTTGTTTGCAAACACGTCTGAATAAGTTTTTTTTTTCTTTTATTCAAGTAGAAAAAGTTGCTTATTTTGAAAGAAACAGTTTATTTTCAAAACAAGTAACTTAGCAATGATACGGTGACTGCTACTTCCACTGATCAACAGAATTCTCAATCAACAATAAAAAAAAACTTGTGACTAAGTTAACAATAAGCATGTTAACTAGCAAACATACAAAACCACATAATATTAGTGTTCAATATTTGACGTACAAGCATTCATATTTATACAGGAACTCCACAAATTAATTTTAACAAATATGAAAAATTGTAATCAAAGAATACTTACACCTTATCAAAGAGATAAGCCTTTCCAGTCCTGGAGTGGAAAGACTGGAGCACGGATAAAAGATTTGGTTAGAAATCGTGCATGTACATCAATCCTTGGTACCATTAGGCAAAAATAAACAAGGAAGAAATAATTGGATAAGACAGCCGGTATAAGCTGCTAGAGTTTCCGACTAATGCAAGTGTAAGAGCTAGCAAACTCCAAAATGTCGTGCTCTCTACAAATCTAAAATATATTCACAAGGAAAAAAGATTATTTCCAAAGAAAAATATCCAAATGTCAGTAAAAAATGAAGAAGAATCGTGAAATATTTTAGCAGATACCCTAATGCAATATTAGTTCACCATAAGAGAAAACTTTGATATAATGACAGACGTGCATTTAGAACATAAGAGAAAAACTCTATGACTGTTAAAGAAAAAATCCCATACAATTTAAACACGCAGCCAGGTAAACGCAGCTATATAGGCATGTGTAATCTAGCCAAGATAAGTTTCTCAAAATAAAGCCAACATCATGCCATTAACATGTTAGAAAGAATTTGAAAGGTTTGAAATATCTTCCAAGTTAATTCCATTTCTCGAAGGTAAAAAGATTCAAAATATCAGCACCACTACCGAGAGTGCAAAACCTCACAGGCATACATGTCCTTCTTTCTCCATAGAATAATATGTACAGAATATAGGCATAATAAACAAGAAAAATGCTATATGTACATCAAAAAGTGTATATCAAGGTCTACATCCCCTCACATGGAAGGGTCCACTCGAATAAAATATTTGAGTGGACCCCTTACCCATGTGAGGGGGGTGTACACCGTGATGTACACCCCGATGTACAACTAGCATGGTTCAACAAACAAATGCTTTTAAATTTGCATGTCGAATTGTGCAATATATAATAGTTCTTATATTATATGAAAGGTGATTTCATATTAATTCATGACTTGCATATTCTTCGTTCTTTCTTATTTTGTGAAATTGTAAGTTGCTAATTTCCTTATCGAGTATAACGTCCATGACAAGCAGCATAAAAAGACAAGAAGATAACCGTAAACCATCCTCAGCTTCAAGCAAATTATAAAAAATCGCTTCCATACATGACTAATTACTTTCCATAAATTGTAAAAAAGAGTGCCAGGTGCCTACTAAACTACCACATATATTCAAAAGTGTCATGTGGTGTGACGCAAGATTCACAAACATGGGCATAAGAAACTAGTTTTAGAAGCCTGCAAAAGGAATATTTACGCCTTACGTGTACCAAATACTTACGTATTATGCAAAGATATAACAATACAGTTACCCTTCCCGATACTACTAAAGTTCTTTAACGTACTAAAGTTCTTTAACGGTTTATGTTCCAAATGTGCCAACTATTCATCGCAAGAAAGTTGTTTCCATGAAGTAAACGACAATTCAACCAAATTCCAATTTGCAAATAGAATAGTCTTTTTCCATATCAACGTAGAGACATTTGTACAGGAAGAAAAAATATTTCTATATTTAGACGCACACGTTGCACATGACCACAGGTCACTCTACCCCAATCATAAAATTTCAAACTTAAGTGTAACAATCTCCTTCAGATCAAAAGAGAAATTAACATTTAACCCTATTTCAAAATATGCCCCCAACTAATGACACCAGCAATAACAAATCTGAAACTCGAGTCAAATCTTTATTGTTTGATTTCCGAGACCCAAAGTCTATGTCACCAAACATAACTAATTGAATTCTCTGTGTAAAAGATTGCAGAGCTGAAGAGCCTCTCCAGATCTTCTAGATGTGAAACAAATACTTCAACTCACCTATCAACTTCAATTTATGCAAAGCACAATTTATAATTTAAGCTGGTTAACATATTTTTTATCCACGCATTTCGTCCACATCTTATTACCCACTTATTATCCACACATTCCATAGGACCACTGCTTATAAGCACTTAAAATTAATACCAAACAAGCACCAGAGCAACTCACTAAATGGCAGGCAAAAGAAATCCCCTCTATATTTACCTTTTTTGTAATAAACATTAGGTAGTACACCTTTGGTACATAGCACTCGACACTCGACTGCACAATAAGCAAGAATTTAGCTTATTTTGCTCCTTACTATTCAATTCTTCCAACCAAACATGCCATAAGAGTATGAAATTTCCAATTTATTCCATGCCATTATCGTTCTAATTCTCATATTAATTTTCACTAACAAGAACATGGACAATCAAAATTCATCACAGCCCAAATTCGAAATACCCAAACATATGTATGTGTAAATCACAAAGCATAAACACACGAAGAGAGAAATTAAGGAGAAAAAACCTTGGAGATGAGATCAGAATAAACAGCAAGATGGGTTTGGCAGTGCTTGCAAGTATATATTCTCCCTTCAAGATTGATCAAAAATAGCCTTCCCATTGAACTAATATTGATAATGAAGTCTTCCTAAAATCACACAACCGACAGAAAAAATTAAATTCCTAAAAAATAAAAACTCAATCAACAAACAATACAATGCAATGCAATGCAAATGCATGTATGTGTGTGTGTAATATATAAATACATATACATATGCATAATATGAGCAGAAATTGTGGGAATAGCATAAGATCTAACCTCAGCAGCAATGAGGGAAAAGGGGGCCTGAAAGAAGTGAGAAGAAAGAATAAAAAGTGATCACACCAAATGAAACGCATTTTGCAACCAATTTTTATACTAGTAGAGATAGGAACCACCACGCCACCCCTACCCCACCCTACACCTCGTCACTTGTAACGACGCTGTGAATAGAGACAATTTTCAGAAGAAAAATCTTTAATTTCGATTTAATCCCGTTGAATGGCATGTCCCCGTGTTTGGACAAAGAGTTAAGAGGTGTCCTCCTTGTTTGTTCGAAGGTAAAATATTAAAATTTATTTTTCTCTCTCTTTTTATCTACCACACATTCTGCAATAAAATAATATTATACGTAAACCTAAAAATATTTCCTTTTTTTCCAATCACATATTCTTTAAAAAATTACCATTCCCCTCGTTACAAATTACAATTTGGAAAAATGAAGTCCAAACAGGAACTTAGTTTTTTTTTAAGTATGACCCTTTCATAAAAAAAAAAAAAAAAATACATAATTTAGCCAATGTTTGTTTTGGATTAAAAAATCCAATCAAAATCTAAAGTCAAAATCAACAAATTTTAATCAGCATTTCATAAAATTCACAACTTTTCAACCACACATTTTATCAAAATCTACTAAAAATCTGATTTTAATCGAATTAATGTGCTCTCTGACTTATTATTAAGGGATTTCCTTGCTAAGACATTAGAAATCAAACTAATTAAATAATTTGTAATCTAAATGGCCATTTTTATTACTCAATCTTATTCATTAGCTTCAATGGTAACAAGGTCTATTTTCGGCATCATATCCATAGTTAGCGCATTCATCATAGTTAGCAATTCCAGCTCCCGCAAGGCATGAGGAGGATTTGCTGTCCGTACAGTGTAAAAAATCGTGTTAAAGCTAGCTTAGCTAAAGATTGTAGAACATTATTAGCTTTTTGTCCGATAAATGGGTTACAAGGAAAGTAAGAAAATAAAAAGGGCAAAAAAAAAAAAACAGTGGAACTGAAATGCCCACTGATTGGGACCCACTAAAATGACATCCGGTGGGTAATTTGTCATTTTGGTCAGTGGTTGCATACTTTGCAATTTGCGTTACGTCTTTTCTCGACACATTTTTGTGTATCTAAATAAATTCAACCTGTTCATTTTCTAACACAATAACTAGAATAATTTTTCAGTCGAGCATGGGAAATGAGATGATGCCTAGCCAAATCATGCCTCCTATGTCAAAAATGAGATCCACAATCGAGAGTTCGAGTAAATTAAAATGAAGTGAAAAACGATTCAATGAACAAAAAATGATCATCCCGATTCAACCAATTGAATTTATGACTGCAGAACAACTCTCCGATGCTAAATAACTCATAACTTATGACAAATACTCGAAAGAACACAAACGTAAATCCAAACGATGAAATCTTGAAAGGAAGTTGGAGTCGCTCAAATCCCATTTTATTCTTGCCTTGGTACAAATGTCAGCTGTGAGATGATCAATCTATGTTATTCTGAAAGATGAACTCGCAAGTCATGACATGATCAGAAGGATAATCTTTCTGCGGTTACTTTTCTGTCAAGTTTACCTACTCTGTTTGGTGGCCAGACAACATGGGTAACCCGTCCACAAACCAAACCGAGAGGAATCTGGCAAAAATAAAACTATATTCAAGTCAAGAAAGGCAAAGTAACAATATTAGCATACGCGGAAAACATTCAATACTCAATTCTACTATTTGCAGCAATATGAGAGGTTTAGCACTTCTACCAACTGAATTGAAGTTCTCAAAAGCATATTGGTTTTAACAACAGGATAGGGTTTAGCAAAGTCAACTGATGCAGGTGACCTGTTTCATTTTCAAATAGTGAATGGAGTTAAATCCTAAAGTGATATATACCAGCAACTGAAGGGATTAACTCTATCGGGATCATTCAACATCTTGTATTGACTAAATTTTATTAATGCTTTTCTCATTACAATCATCAAATTTCTAAGTTAGAACAACACATGTAATGATGTATTATAGCAGTCCTACGTTTGTTTTGAACCGAATTTTAGCTGGCTGCAAAATGTATTCTTACACCGTAATTAACAAGAGCTCAGAATAGAAAACAATAAGTACAATAACATAAAACAAATTTCCATTTTAAACTTATACTTGACAAAAAATGAAAACAGTCACCCTTGAATTTGGTTGGTTAAAGCATAATTCGATAAAGACTACCCAATTTATATGCTGGCACATACGTATATTTGCAAATTTCCACCAAGATTACAAACCAGTTGCTTCTAGCAAAATCACTTGTGAAACCATCACGTAATCCACAGAGGTTTTTAACTTCAGAGGTGATAAATGTAAATAGGGAGCAATTTCTAACATACCGGGCCAAAGGATCTTGAGTCCATACTACAAGCTGAATTGTCTCCCTCAACCCAACAATGCCCTTCAGGGATCATCACAGCATCATATGAAGAAGAGATATTGACCCAGTCACCCGGCAAAGCAGTGATCCTCTTTACATTTTTCTGTTTATGATTACTTGGGGAACTGCAATGCATGGGTGATTGCAATTAAATTTTAGAACTAGAATTATTGTTTACTATTTTGTACCAACATGGCACAAAAGTAACATATATGACATGTAAACCTTAATCGGAGTATAATTCTTAATTTATAAATTATTTAATTTATAAACAGATACAAATGAATGGTAGATAAGTGGACAATACTCGTGAATTCATTGAAATGTGTGGTTGAAAATGAAGTTTGACCATTTTATAATAGATTTACAAATTTGCCAAATGCAGTCTTAATTTACTGATCATGTTTGCGATATCATGTTTGAGCAGGTCAGAGTACCACCTTCAAGTGGCCAAGAGCTGTTGCAGCAGCCCCCATCTCTAAAAGGATAATTCCCCGAAAATAATGCCTATTTCCAGCTCTAAATGTACTAACTATAATCGACACACACCAACTGCCTAAACTTCAATTCTCATGGCTACCATATTCCCATCAAATTCCCACCTCTGACAATCAAACCCAATGTAAAAGGGTCAGTTTTCAGTGAAATATGAATGTACGAGGTGAGAATATCATGTACAGTTCTGTAGCCTAATCCAATTTATAGAGATATAACACAATAAAACCAAATGGAAAATAACAAAATGATCAGAGGTCACAGCCAATTCCGTTCATGAATTTAGAAGTTTTTTGAAATAAATAAAATCCATGGTTGAAGAAATTAAAAAGTAGTTTCCAGTACAATGACTCCCAAATTTCAAAAAGAAAACAGGCATCAATGAATTATTTATAGAAAGAAAACATTCAGAGATAAATGTCATTAGATTTAACTTGCAAGAATTCATCTCTCCTCATAAGAACCGTGAAGGATTAGTTTCATGATTTTAAGAACTCGCTATACTTCATGTAGTAGTTCAATTTTTAAAAGTTTATGATGATTGGATAGAAAATAGTGGAGGCCGACATTTTTACAAGTCCTAACCTATGCCTCTTGAACACAGAATAGAATACCACAAAGTATAGTGCTCAAACATATTCCATGAGATCAATGTTACCAAGTTAAATTTGCAAAAGCAAATTTATAAATTATATGAGGTAGCACATAGAATATTGATTACTCTCATTAGCATATTCAGCTGCATCAATCTTTTACAATCCCCAACTTCATCAAACAAACTTCTTTAAAAGAGCTTCTAGAAGGGATGAAATATGCACGCAGCTAGCAGGAAATTTCATGTGCATATGTTTAGGATTTGGATATTAACAATAGTTATATTAGTTCAGACCTCAAGCATCCCATCTCAGATGATGGTTGAAAGTGAAATTTACAATTTGATGCCATCAATGCAAAAAATACATAAGATCTGCTCATGTTTCCCCACTTCACTCCTTTTACCAAGCTACCTGATCTAAAACTCAGTTTTATGAACTGCTTTCCTTGAGAAACGTGTTAGTCAACATCTCGCCTAGCAACATATTTGCATACAAGGCTTATATGGACCTCAATGTTCATTGCTACCAGCAAATTTTCTTCATTATCCTAAGCTGTTCTCTACCGAATTTAGTGTTAGATATTAGCATACAATTTATCAAACAGTATATTCCTTTTTCTTCTGAGGCAGAGAAGTGCAAAAGGTTACTGAAAGGAATACAGTCATTTTGGAATTAGCCTCATATTAAGAAGAATTTATACATGATTTAACTTATAAATAGATACAAATGAATAGTAGTTAAGTGGACAATACTCGTGAGTTCATTGAAATGTGTGGTTGAAAATGAAGTTTGACCATTTTATAAAAGATTTACAAATTTGCCAAATGCAGTTTTAATTTACTGATGATGTTTTCAATATACTTTGACTTCTCAAAAATTGATAACAAAAGCTAGGGGCATTCAAATACTGACACGGTCTCTCTCTCTCTCTCTCTCTCTCCCCCCCTCCCTCCCTCCCGCAATTATGGCTATTTCCAGCTCCAAATGTACTAACTATAATCAACACACACCAACTGCCTAAACTTCAATTCTCATGGCTACCATATTCCCATCAAATTCCCACCTCTGACAATCAAACCCAATGTATCAGTACGAGGTGAGAATATCATGTACAGTTCTGTAGCCTAATCCAAATTATAGAGATATAACACAATAAAACCTAACGGAAAATAACAAAATGATCAGAGGTCACAGCCAATTCCATTCACCCCACATTTGGGAATCAATGGTTGGCTTCCAATTCTTGCATCTGCCAGTAAAGTAGAACCTAAAATGGCTAGTATTTAAGTGGGAATGGCGTGCAGGATTGGTGATTTTGTTGTTCTAGAAAAATTGATTCTCAAATTGAGAGTCGTAGAAATATTAAAGAGACGCACTTTCTTCATCTGCGAAGATTCAGCATAACAATCAAATGATTTAGGAGTCACTTTAATTATGGTTGCAATTTAGAAGTTTTTTGAAATAAATTAAACCCATGGTTGAAGAAATTAAAAAGTAGTTTCCAGTACAATGACTCCCAAATTTCAAAAAGAAAACGGGCATCAGTGAATAATTTATAGAAAGAAACATTCAGAGATAAATGTCATTAGATTTAACTTGCAAGAATGCATCTCTCCTCATAAGAATCGTGAAGGATTAGTTTCATGATTTTAAGAACTAGCTATACTTCATGTAGTAGTTCAATTTTTCAAAGTTTATGATGATTGGATAGAAAATAGTGAAGGCCGACATTTTTACAAGTCCTAACCTATGCCTCTTGAACACAGAATAGAATACCACAAAGTATAGTGCTCAAACTTATTCCATGAGATCAATGTTACCAAGTTAAATTTGCAAAAGCAAATTTATAAATTATGCCCCTGTTTGGCCCCCATTAAATTTCATTACATTACATTAAATTTTTCTCTTTCTTCATTACAACCACACATTCATCAAATAAAATAATATTACACACAAATCTAAAACTTTTCACTATTTTTCCACCACACATTCTCCCATCAATCACTATTTCAAAAATTTTCAACCATAAAAAATGCACAATAATGGGGGTCAAACGGGGGCTATATGAGGTAGCACATAGAATATTAATTACTCTCATTAGCATATTCAGCTGCATCAATCTTTTACAATCCCCAACTTCGTCAAACGAACTTCTTTAAAAGACCTTCTAGAAGGGATGAAAGATGCACGCAGCTAGCAGGAAATTTCATGTGCATATGTTTAGGATTTGGATATGAACAATAGTTGTATTAGCTCAGACCTCAAGCATCCCATCTCAGATGATGGTTGAAAGTGAAATTTACAATTTGATGCCATCAATGCAAAAAATACATAAGATCTGCTCATGCTTCCCCACTTAACTCCTTTTATCAAGCTACCTGATCTAAAACTCAGTTTTATGAACTGCTTTCCTTGAGACACATGTTAGTCAACATCTCGCCTAGCAACATATTTGCATACAAGGCATATATAGACCTCAATGTTCATTGCTACCAGCAAATTTTCTTCATTATCCTAAGCTGTTCTCAACCGAATTTAGTGTTAGATATTACATATAATTTATCAAACAGTATATTCTTTTTTCTTCTGAGGCAGAGAAGTTCACAAGGTTATTGAAAGGAATACAGTCAAGAATCAGGCAAAAACCAGTCAAGTGGGGAGATTGCGTTCCTGCTTATGTACAGAGGGAAGAATAACAGATCGGGGAATTCATCTTGATCAATGACAAACTAAAGGCCAGTTGTCATTTGTTTTGAAATATTAACGTATTTGGTTATGTGCTTAGTGATCCAGCATACAATGTGTTTTTAAAAGAAGTATTTTGCAAGGTCAAATATCATCATTTGAACTTCAGCATCTCCAATTGATATCCAAAGAAAAGTTAATTAGGTAGTGTAAATGTCCAATAATCACAACCAAAGCAGTAAATATTGGCCTGAGCTTAAAATTAAAGGGGAAAAATAAAACAACAATACAAAAAGAGAAACGAAGATCCAGCAACAATAATATGCAAATTGAACCACGTTCAAATGCTCTTCAAAAACCCAAAAATAAATGTTTAAAAAATAAGTTAATTGAGCAACGGCAAGTAAAAAAGACAATGTGTTTGATAAAGCCAAAAGCAATCAACGAGTAGTAGTAGCCAGAGATATAATTACCGGAAAACCACCACATCACCAGGCAAAAACTTGTATTTCTCTAGGCAAAATTTCTCAACCAATGCATAGTCATCTGAAACCACCATTAAAAATCTAGTAAAAAATCTTTACCACAAGGTAAAAACAATCAGTAAAATATGAAATTACCCATAGTAAATGCAGCGGATATTTTGTCCTGGGGGTTGAAGGTGGGAGACATTGAGGAGCCGCGAATGGCGATAAGGCTGACATAACGATCAGATATTGTGAGGCTTATCAGCCCTACGGTGAAACACTTCTTTGCGATTCCAAAGAGAAAATTTGGAGTTGACATATCCGTGGTGCCTAATTCAGATCAGATATAGGAAATAATTCAAGCAAAAAATGCCACGACAGTTATTACAAGCAAGCACGCTGCACACTCCTCTATGAGGTGGGGGCGTCGAAGAAGGCAGTGGTGGTTGCACCGCCGCAGCTTTGGGGTTGGTGTTGGGGGCCCGGCAAAGGCAGTTGCTTTTGGGGCGGGGTTTTATCTTCTCCCTGTCCTTTCTTTTTCTTCTTTTCGGTTTTTTATTTTTTCCTTATTTCAGCTTTGTGTTCTGTTTCAAAATGTTAAGGACCACTTTGCTCCGTCTCGAAAATTAGGAACCAAATTACAATAATAAATTGGGGACTAACAGCAAAGTTTTCATAATTTATATTTGTAATCTTGTAAGCTACATTCTCTCGAAGGATGTTTAAGTGAACCAAGCCGTTCGTCCACCAAGGGACGAGCTTGTGGAGCGAGTTGAGTCACATTGCTATAGATGACATGAGTAGTTCGGCTCTCCCCATTTATAATAAATGAATTCTAAATTAATTAAAGCAACTGTCAACTACTAGTTCTTGAACAAGACAACACGGTTCATCAACATTTGCGATGTCTAACATCACTACATATGATATGTTGAGAAAAAAGTACATAAAATCGTTACCGGTTGTAAGAGTTTTGATGTTTCTTAATTTGTGCTTGTAGGAGTACCCGTGCTCAAATATGTTCCTCGAGGTTTTGGGACTATACTATAATAAAAAAGAATTTCAAATGTTATTGAATAATTAATTAATTTCATTTATTTTTATAAAAGAGAGTAAAATACTTTCGATTAATGAGTGAAATACAAAATAAGGTAATTATTACATAATACACTATTTTGCATATTGATTAAGAAATTAATTGTTGATAGTTTGTTTTATTAATACAGGAATAGTTACTATTATACCAATTGGTATATACAATTTGTCTTGACAGTGACGAGATGATCTCGACAGTACTAATACTTGTACACTTGGTATATCCAAAAATGTATTAGACGATACCATTATGTGTAAGAATTTACGCGCACAACGAATAGCAATTGACTTCAGTTTCCAAAAGAAAAAAGAAAAGATGGACAGAGCGCAATGAAGTCAGTTCATTTCATGCATGCTTAACACTGTGCAAGTCAAGTACATAAAATTGAGAGATTTGTAGCTCCAGCTGACCATAAAATTGCTGGTAAGTTACACGTAATATATTTCATGCAAACGCAGTTTGAGATTACAATTCATTTGCAGCTCGATGAAGCTTGAAAGAAAGGTGGAGATAGACAGCAAATTGTATTTAGCTCATCACGAGATCAATTAGATAAGGAGATGCCGCCTCTAATCACCTTGGAGAAATGACAACTCAAATTTGAATGCCAGAAAGTGCATTATGTGCACAAGAAAACAGTCTCTGCATTATAAGTCACCATTTAGACCGTTAGATGTTCGTCAATTGAAATTTCCTTAGGCACCTTAAGATTTATTTGGTTTGTGTCCCATCCGGCCTCTTCAAGCTGTTGCAAGAAGTTGTCGAACCCATCCTTCAATTCAATCAAGCTTTGCTCGAGTTGCTCAAACAGGTCATCTGACCTACTCCAGTTCTGGTCAAGCAAGTAAGTTTGCCATATGCTTCGCAAAACTGATAGACTTGTAGCTCCCTCCTGCAGCAGGAAATCGAGTTTACATACTGTATATTCACTTTCATCAAAAATTCATAGACACTTCAATTGCATACCTTGAAGGATACAAAGACCTCGAATTCTGTTTGCAGTTGATTCACCACAAGAAAATATTTCTCTTTTGCGTATAATTTGAGAAGCATCCTCGCCTAAACAAATTAAACAAAAAAAGCTATGGCTTTGACCTTTCATGAATGCATTCGCAATCCATTAGTTTCTTGAGCACTAGTATGGTAAGGCTATGTTTGGACACTAATAATTTTGAACTTATTTTTATTCCTTAATTCAATCTTGTACTATTAAATGCACTTTACCAAACATACCGTAAATGTAACCAAATAATTTGATAATTAGAGTAAGTTCAAGATAAATGCAATAACTTTGAGATGATAAAGAAAATACATTGATGCATATGGAAATGAAGCAAAACCACTCTGTTTTTTTTTTTTTTTTTTTTATAACCGTGGATGTCTAGGCCAGCTTGCGCGCACCTCGACTAATCCCACGGGACCTGAAGTTTACGGCCGGGTACTACCCAATGCCTGACCAATTGAGCAACCCCTTAAGGTTAACTCTGTTGGAATAAGTTTTAAAACAAACAAAGCCCATCCGCCGTTCCGCCTTGAAAATTACTTTCAGATTTTCTATTCAACATGCCTAGCAGGAAATATAATATATTGCCGAATGGTGTAAACGACTTGATTTCACACCAGCATAAACTTAATAATGTAATCCATAACACAGTGTAGCAATACCATGGAGCCACGTCTCTTGCCAATGAACATCTCTTCCAAGGACACCCCAAAAATGATTCTTGGTCTACGAAATCTTTCCCATAATAATATATTTTCCATCTGGTTGCAATCGTCAATTCCTATTTTAGAAAAATAGATAAATAATCAAGTATTTTTATTCTTCCAGAAAAAGTTTTCCTAAAGCCGGAGAGATTGAGATATAAGCATTGGCTAACCTGGTACTTTAGCATACAAAATATGTGAGTTCACCAGTATACGAGCTCGCTTGAGATTTATCTGTAAGAAAAAGAATAACTGAGGACAAAAGAAACAAATCTGCAACGCAAATAGCTATTTTATCCTTCCCAAGTTTATCATCGCCCCGACTATGAGGGCTCCAGTGTAAATGGAACTTTTCTTGAGAAAAAAAGAGCAAAAATTTTGATTAAATACCATCCCCCTTCCCAGAAAGTAAAATTCATATTTTACCGTATTGAACCGCAAAACTGAGAGGGACTTGTAGCGGAACCAAAGGTGTAGAAGTCGTATGCTCAACCATGTTGATCCCAACACAGGATATGACGATGAAATACCAGGTGTATCCTAAATTTGGGTTCTGATTAAGCTATAAGGAATAATTGATGATGTATTGAGATTTGTATCCAGATGATACTGGGATAATATATAAAATTCACGTAACACACCAGAGCAAGTATTCCCAAAGCAAGGCCAATCAGCTCGGCAGCTACTTCCCAAACCTCCTCCTAGCAATTTTGACCACAAAATTCAGAAATAATAAAATATAATAGTTGGGTAGAAACAATTTATGAGAAGTGTGGCCTGATATTACGGTCTATGATGCTCGAACTCGGGTACGGGTATGTATCTAAGTGTCGGATGTTTTATTTTCTAAAATGTAAGATATGGGGACATAGATAAAAAGATTCCAATTTTCGTTAATATGGCTTTTTTATCAACCTTATTAACCTATCAACATTGTATAAATTGTGTAATAGTGGGAAGATATAAACCTATGTATAAATTGTCGTGTCCAGTTGAAGTACCCATACCCGTGTCGTGTACATAACATGGGCACTCCGACCATTTCGAAGAGTTTGAGCATTACAGATTACGGTACACTATAAGAATTGGTTTAATTTTTTTTATAATCCATAATCAAATTTTTTCAAAAAAAATGACTATCAGTCTATCACAACAAAATTGACGAAAAAGTTGCTGATAAACATTGTGCATGCACATGAATAATTACAGCACTATGAAATAATCTTGTTTTCCAGGTGCTTGAAGGGTCTTGTAATCTTATGCAAAATACACCAAGTAAAGTGGCATGCAGCTTATGCTTTTGGTTGAAGCATAACATGTATAAAACTTACTAGTGGAATTAGACAAAATAAGGACCTGTGACTGCATGTTTTCTGCAACATTTAAAGTAATGATGCGCGTCATATGTGAGCATGAGCAGAGAGAGATCCAATGGCATACCTTTGCTGATACCTCTCCCAGATTTCCAGAGATTGCAAAATGGTTCTGTATAACCCGGAATGAAGGATCTCTCAGACCCCTCCCCACCGCCTGCAAAAATATATGGTTTCCAATGGATGATATCCATTAACATCTACTTCAACATCCTTTAAATACTCTTGTAAGAATTTAATTACCATAAGCAATCTGATAGAGGGAAGAAGGTCAACCTAAGGCTCTTCAATCTAGGCTCGTTGTGAAAACCATTTGAAAGCATATTTCACGGAAGGTTTTCAGAAAGCTTCATTAGTAATCTAAGACGTGAATCCATGCATTGGGATCACAATGCGCTTGTTTACTCCATTTCAGAAATATTTCAGTAAGCTTTTGACCGAAAACAGTGAAAACGTCAAATATATGACTTCTTTAATTGGCAATATTCACGTCGCTTTTTTCATAAAATACCTTTGAAAATGGTGAAACAGAGGGACCTCTGTTGCACAGTGTGGTCCCCTCTATCTGATTACGGTAGACAGGATCTAAAAATGCTCCGAAACAGGCTAACTTCTTGAAACATGAAAGCAATGGAATTTGACAGCTCGAGAGGATACAATTAGAATTAACTTTACCTTGGCAAGATTACCCAGTGACGCCAATGGCAGGAAATAAGAAGGATACAATGAGGTACTTAGATCAAAAATGCTGCATCAAAAGATTAATTTCCATCATAAGGTGTACTGACAACATACATGCACCTTCAAAGAAAGTAAATGACAAGTACCTTCCTGCACTCCCAATGAAATCTGCGTACAAGCGCCATTGCCTAGGGTCATCATCGAAAAGATCACCAAATCTTCCACCTGAAAGAAATAAGTCATTATTACACACATGTTAATCTTAGTGGTTTCCCTCTCTTTCATTTAATTGGAATAGCCAGACCAATGAATAAGCGTCCAATAGCACCAATGCCATCCTTTGACACCCAACTACAGAAAAATAAGATAATCCATATTAATCCACTGACCACCAGCTTTTGAACAGACTGAAAATGAGAAACTCAGATTCTTCCATAGGCATAAATGCTAAACTCAAAAAAA